TATTAATTCGATTAATTTTGTCACGGATAAATTTTTTGAGTATCTAATTAAAGATCAAAAAATCGAATCAGTGCAATATTGATTCATTTGAATCTTTTAATCAGAATTAATAATATATAAATTTAGCGCTATTAAAAATAATTCACAAAGGTTTGATGAGAATGCTTATGACAAATTTAAGAAGACGCTAAATTTTCTGAATTAATCGAATTCTTACTGATTCTTTAAATGAGTTTTTTTTATTAAGTTTGAATCTTCGATTAAAAATTGTATGAAAATGATGAAATCTTTTGTACGAAATAAAGAATCGGGAAGACCGACAGATTCTTCGAATTGATCAAGTTTCCCGCAAAGACAACATAAAACTACGTGATTCCTCCTTTATGTTCGTTGATTGAAGAAGCTCCTAGAAAGCTCTCAAACATTTGATGTATCGATATTGTCCGATCAAGAAATGCCATTATCTACTTCGCATCAATTTACAAGATTTGCACAAAGAAACATGACTTTCAGAAGTATGATTCAATAGAATTTTTCAAAATGGTCGTATTAAATCTGATGTGAAAGTGGAAATTCTGAATGTCTCACCCTTGATACTCGTCACGGATGCTGTGAAAAAACGAAATCGTTGTCTTGACAAGATGGAGGGCTGAGGAGAATCTGTGGAATGTCCTGGGTGTTTTCTTTCTCAAGATTTCGCAAGCTACATGTCGAGAGACACCGAAGACTTGCTTAGTGAAAAAGTTTGAAAAAAAAGTAGTAGAGAAACAGGTGGTTTCTCCGACGTCGTTTGCTCTCATTTTTGTGCGTATATTAAAAACGCGCAAGCATCGCTCGAGCGAGATTCGCCACGATTGAGAATGACACTGGAATATTTCGTGAGAATGTCAGAAACCATGATGCGTTCATATTTTATGAAGGGAAAGAAGCAGAAGTTTGGTTCGACCCTGTCGACGGTAATCGATGTTTTTTATTTGCATTATTATTTTGATAAAATTTATAAAGATACAATTATATTTTTATTTTTGCAAATTATATAATTACAGTGAGATAAACTACAAACTGTATATTACATCATTAATTATGTATATCTCTATTTATTTATCTGTAAAAAATTAAGTATTGCAGAAATAATTATTTGCATTGTTAATCTGATATAAATTTATCTATTATTATTGAAGATATAACGCGATGATAATTCGATAATTATGGAGACTATGTAATTTGTCATTCGCCAAATTTGCTTTCGCGGTCTCCTGCGGTGCTTCTCTATCGTTCTAATTAAGTCACACTTTGTTTATTCGCGTTTATCAACTAATTATTTAGTTTATTTAGTGTTATCAAGCCTTGTAAACGTGTTTGTCTTATCTGCCGCGAAATGGCGCGTATATTTCGCATCGGTATCGATCGAATAACTCGATACGAATCTGAATGAATGGATGATTTCATCGGATTAAAATCCGTTGTGAAATAAAAATGAATGAAAAAAAAAACACTTGTTCAGACATATATATTCAGGAGCGAAAACATGCAGAAGCCTCGACAGAAGCTTTTTCTTCATTAAACACACGAACGATATAGGCAATAATAAGCGAACGCGTTGTCGTTGACGCGACCTCATTTTCAAATGGCACTTCAAAATCCGTCATGAAAATGTGCTCAATTGCTTTTACGAATGTCGATGGATTATTTGGGATAAATTTTGTTTATAGTTCGAATAATTTGTTAATAATTTATTTAAAATATATATAAATCCCTCTCTCACATTATATCAAATATAAAATCACACAATAATTAATCCGTCGGTTTATTCTCCTTGCTAAAGAAGGCTTTAAATAATGCTTAAATTTATGCTATTTCATTGATATGATTTTATATCAAGTTTCATATGGATAATCGTTATTTTCGCGGAGAATATTCTCAAGCTTTATCCAGAAACTTCCGAAGATACTTTAGAAGCTCTCTGATCATCGCAGAAGCCGTGCAATTTTATTTGCACGCACATCAGGTACATATTTATGCGGGGAAAACATGGTTCTGTCGTGAGTCTGCAAATATTAAATCCGGTTGCGGACGAAGTCGAGCCATCGAAACGAAATATTGTGCCGCGAATTGCTCCTCATAGATGACCTAGTGAATTTAAACAGAAATACCCTCGGGCCTTTTTATATCACAGTTTTTCTTTACAGTTAATTTAATGTGCATGAAATTTATTCAAGCGTCTTTACAGAAATTCCGCTAAAATGCACCGAATCGGATAAAGTTCCTGAGAGAGGAAGAAGATTTCGTTGCGCTCGTAATTTTTCGCTAGATTTATTTTCACGCTATTTTTCCTGGTTCAGCAGACGCTGATGAAAATAATCACATAACGCAGTAACTATTCGATAATTCCAGGTCACGTAACTTTCCGACGAACGCCAACCTCCTTCGACTATTTCGTTTCGATTACACCTGTCGAAGCATCTTAGATCGATGTGAAAATCCATATGTTAATATATCTATATAGACGATGTCAATCGTTCATCGCGATAAAGTTATAATTATTACGCTAAAGAATCTTCTCCCTTGTCTTTTAATCTCTACCACAGATTACCTCTTATTACTTAACTTTGAAACTTCTATTTTCCCGATACCGAAGAAAATTTGTATAAATGTAGGAAAAAAAAGAGAAAATTATAAAGTGAAATGATGAAAAATATTTCTTTGCAATATTATTTATTTACAAAAATATTTATTAGCAATATTTTAATCATTAATTATAGTTTATTTCCGTATATATACATATATAAAATAAAAATGCCTTTGTGACGTGCTGCGAGTCTATTTTTCCTGAAGAGAAGTTTTTCTTTTTTTGAAGATGGCACGAATTATTACGATAATCTTAGGTCATTGGAACGAGGTCGTCTTCGCGACAACCCTTCTCACTTAGCATCAGCATGAATAAAACATGACCACAGCTGAATTTACATTCCCGCGACTGTCTCTGACGACCCAATGAGCCGATTTTTATCCTGCCTCCTCTGACCCGCCCGACTATACACTTGCCACGAGATAAAAGCTGATAATAAAAAATCGATAAAGAAGGAAGAGAACCGAGCTTGGCTCTCTACTCTTTAAAAATGTCTCCATCAAGGTAGATTAGTTGTTATTAGATGTTATTTGATATCGACCTAATCGAATAAGATTAAAAAAACAAGTACCATCGCCGCTCGACATTGAACTTTCGCTAATGTAGATATTCGCGTATCAATTATTGTATCTAAAAATATCTAGAAATACGTGTTGAATTTTAGGAAGAAAATTAAGAATTGATTCGGAAGATTCGCAAATGGAATTTAATGTTGATAAAGATATTCGAAACCAACATTCAATAACTTAATGGCGAAGCTACATAATGGTGTCACTCGCATTGAACGTTTCATTCTCCAGGCATCAGTAATGAATATTCCATTTTCTATTTTTATTCGCTTATCGGTCGTTTATTGACCGATGGGGTTGATAATAATAAAACGACCGTATACGCATGTACACGGGGAGAGGAAGAAAAAGGGAGCAAACTGCGACTTTGTCACGGGATAAGATCCTCAGTTCGCTATACGAGCCTCTTGAGTGCGGTTTATCGATATCGACTTTCTCTTACAAATTCTTGTTAGGTCGGGGTAGACTGATGACTCTTGACAGCTTAGTGTTTGGTGTATTCCCCGACTTGGCACACACCGAAATGTGCCAGCTAAGGGTATGCTACTACCCTGACACACCGTTCCTCACGAGCAGAACCGGCCAATCCCGAGCCAATCGAACGAACGCCTCCCTTGGTCGGGCTGCATTGCATCAGTGTTAAGCTGACGCTCGGCCGGCGCTCTTCCGGTTCTTCCAGCTCTCACAAGCGCCATAAACAAGCGTTCTCGATTCTCGAGTGCCAGAAGGATCAATAATTCGAAGTATTAGTTCGCGTTTCAAGAGAGAAAAAGCTTTGAACTGTCGACCTGTTTAGCAACACACGCTGTGAAACCTCACATCCGAAGCTTTTGTCGAAAGATGATAGTCTCGTAATCACCGTGTTGCTCCCGTCGCGTTTTGGCTGTGCACCCATTCGACAGAATCGATCGCTCTGTGAATTAATTGCCTTTCGGAATTGTGACAGAATATTGAGAACATGACACTTGGGTAGAATCGTGGATTATGGCGACAACTAAGTGGTTAAGCTCTCTTGTGAGCACAAAGCTTGTTCTAAGCTTATTCGAGTACTTGTGACTAATCCCTCCAGTGGGAAAGCAGTAATTTGATCAGCAGAAGAGGATTTCGCCAGCTGTTGGACGCGATGTTCGCAAAAATGTGGGAAGACGTGATTCGCACGATCCGCTTTCGTCCATTGGTCGGATCGGGTTGACGAAATGGATGTATGGAAACTTTTTTGAAATAACCGATTTTTTATTTCACGAGAAGATTTGCACTTCCTATTATCTCATTTAAGCCGTTTGCTAATTTCCTCTTTGCAGAAACGGGCGAGCTTAAATTAATCTAATCCAATAAATAACTCGAAGCACTTCCGTGTTAGATAAATCAACATTTGCTCCCTTATTTTTCCTCCGTGTCTCGTAAGTGATATGATACGATCAAACGTCATCCAACTCCGACACTCTATAAGTGTCTTTTACCGTGATGCACTTTAACGCGAACAATGTTAGTTTAAGTGTCGCTATATCGTATAATCATATTGACAGAACATTTTAAGTGAAGTATGAGCGACGTGCTGATGGAACACCATTTTTCGTTCTTCTATATCTCTCGCACAAGCGTATATCTTGTGCACACGGAAAGTGTTCGTTTGTTAACTTCATATATATTTATAGACGTGATCTCTTTTTCTCATCAATCGTGAAACATTTTATTCCGTGTAATCGGTCTTTTTTTAGACCATTTATAAAGAGAGAAGATACGAAAGAGGTTGCGAGCTGGAGAGAATTTTTTTCTTAAAATTTTCATGTGATCTGTCGTAGGTACTGTCTCTCGGAGCAGACGTCCTCCCAGAGTACAAATTACAATCCCCCAGAATCCACAAGTGGACCATATTACACTATTCGCCGTTCAAGGCAGTCTGGGATTGGATTATATTGCTGCTCGTGATGTACACCGCCATATTTACGCCGTACGTTGCCGCTTTCGTTCTATCGGATCCGGACTATAACAGCAGAAAGAACAAAAAATACAGTGATGATCCCATCGTTATCATAGACTTTATAGGTAAGTCATTATTTAAATTTATAATTTGTTTCTTTTGCTTCATTTTTAAAATAAATAAAAATTGTGCTAAAGTGATATTTAATAATATAAATAATTAATATTTTTATCTGTAATAACAATTAATATTAATTAATATTAATTAATATTACAAATGCCTGTGGGAAAATGATAATAATGACAACAATATAGTTTTTTCTTACGTATATTAATTTTGACAATTAAATAATTATTTAATAATTATTATAATTTATTTTTTATTAATTTTATATTTCTAGGAAAAAAAATAAAGGGACTCACTTGAAACAAAATTAAAGTCTTTTTTTGAGCTTGAGAGGTGAAATCGGGTCTTATAATAAAGCTTTAAATTTGATATTGATGTGCGAGCACAAAGTCATGTAATGTTTCATATAACGTAGCTGGAACGCGAATAACATGTCACGACTGTCTGAAACAATAGAATGGATAAAGAGACAATAGCGTGAAAATAGAACGAACGAATGAAGAAATCGGAGAAATGTCCGAGAAGTGACATTTCTAGAGATACTATCTTCCATTATTTCGTTTTAGTGCGATGAATTTTAGTTTCGTGGAAATTTTTGAAATTCTAAGCGCGATATCGAACGAACAAACGAAATAAAAATTTAGGCAACATTAGTTTGACCTATAGTTTGATAAGAAATTTGATAGATTAAAAATTTACGACATAAAAACTAATTATCTTCAAAGAATTAATTTTCTTCGTAAAAAATATAGAAAATGTATATTATCTATTTTTTCAGTCGACGTCACCTTCATCGTGGACATTATTATAAATTTTCGCACGACGTTCGTCAACAGCAACGATGAAGTAGTGTCCCATCCTGGAAAGATAGCCGTCCATTACCTGAAGGGTTGGTTCATCATCGACCTGGTGGCTGCCATTCCCTTCGACCTCCTACTCGTAGGCTCGGATACTGACGAGGTAAGTTTCGTCGCACGCTTTGCATTCCCTAGATTACCTTTCTCCCAAGCCGGATCTGGTGTTTACGGGATTCACGTCTCTTATGCCAATTTGCAGCTAGTCGTTCGCGAGCGCGAGCAAAAGATTCTTTCTCGTAGAAAAATTACAAAAATTCGTGGCATTTTGTATATTCGCGCAAATCGTCCCGACCGCGTACTCTTGGATTCAGACGACGGAAAGCAATTTCGCGACAATGAAAGCAATTTCGCGAAAGTGAAAAGTGACACTCGCGGACGCCAGATCGCCGGACGAATTTTCTAGAGAAAGAATGTCGGTGTTAGTTGGTAAATATATGATTAGGATGACATGCCGAGCCCAAGTTACATGCCCATAGATGTGACTTTGACCAAAATGGTGCTTAGTTCGTTTCTTCCTATTTTCGATCGTTTCTCTCGGTGTTGAATGATTTCGTTTACCTTTGTCGAGAATTAGTCGAGTCGTCGTGTTAATGTGCACACAATGTATACCGTACGGACGGACGAGAAACGTTTCAACTCGTTTTCTCGCTGCCCGGGACGATTTTACACAAAGTCGAACGTGTGCTACACGTGCGTCGAGAATCAATCGCATTAAAATCGGGCTTTCGTTGAGATGCGCGTTAATGACATGGTGTTAATAAAGTAAGAAGAAAATAAGCTGAATGAGCCACCAACGCGACATTTAATGTCAATTACGTAAAAGTCGAGACGACATGTATGTAACTCAGCATAAGTGAATAATCCCTTTTGTCTGGCTCGTACCTGTAAGCACACGTATGTTTGTTTGCATACACTGTTCATAAATATGTAAGTAAATATAGTCTGTCGCTGTGAAAATTTCTGCTCTGATTGTCAAAGTATTAGACTATATACGTATATCAGATCTTCGTCAAGATTCTCTTCTACTATTTTTTTTACGACTACAGTCGTGTGGTTTTTTTTATTCGTTTTTCGTTCAAACGATTCTTTTTTGAATTTTCTCTTATAAGTTGATCTTTATTTGTCTCTCCCTGAATTTTGTGAACGGTGGCTAATGAAAGAGGTTTATGCGCGCAAGAAAAAAATGTGATGGAACGTAAATAATTCCTCCTCCTCTCCGTGATTAATTTAATTTATCGCCTGAAAGAGACAAGAATGTCACTTGCATCCCCAATCAAGGTTTGCGATTAATGACATAATTGATAAAGTCATCTGTCTCGGCAGTTTGTTTAAAGCGAAACGTGTACATGATTCTTGCGACATTCCTATTGTTGAGCGAATGATTGTAACAAACTGAGAAAATTTGAAAAATGAAATTATAAATTATCCTCACCCGATACTTGAAAAGATCAAATTTTAACCTCAGTTTAACGTTTTCGTAGCTCGGCTTGGACAAGGACGAGGTTAGTTGACACATATATACACAAGAGATTCTTTCTCACTGACGTGTCTTTTTTCGTTATTACTTAATGCGGATTACAATTTACACCGTTTTTACACCAAATTAAGATCACCATCGCAATCACGAATTTTTTCTTCTACTAACTACTTCTCCTCTTTATCTCTTTCTCTCTCTTTCTCTTTCTTTCATGTACAAACCGCTTAAACATATGTTACACATACTCACGTACTCTTACAGTTAGCACAGTTTATTTCATTGTTTATTTTTCTTGTAATGAACCGTCCCCTTTCGACCACGGCGATCAAGAGTCCTCACGCGATGCGTACAAACACCTTACTCGATTACTGCAACCCCATTTTATACCGAGAAAATATATCGAATAAAGTTGATGGTAAATCTCTCTCCACCTCTGCTCTGTTTTTCTTCGGCAATTTTGCACATTTTTTTAAAAATATATCAAAATATTACATGAAAAAGAATTTTCATCAACTCTATTCTTTCTACATACTATATACTAAAATTACCGATATACTAAAATTACCGTGGAAGAATGTGCATGTTTTTCCTTTTTAAAGATCACTACATAAAAATCATATAACGCTTTTAGTTAGTCTGTGTAAGATTTGAATTGCACAGAATTACATCATTGATAAGTGAATTACATTGGCTTCACATGATCTCACGAAATGAATTTACGCGCTACAGAAATAATTATTGGAATAATATTAACAATTAAACATGCACGTCTGCGTTGATGTAAATTTTTGAAATTTGCATAATATTGAATGGAAGAATTAATTAATATTCGATTATGCAAATGTAGAAAACTGTAAATGTAGCAGATGCGCGCGTTTAATTTTCGACTCGAAGCTCCGAATTAATTTATGGAACAGAAAGATTGAAATTTCTCTGTCGAAAATTGACATCGGATTCATCGCAACAGAAATAATTTGCGCCACTCAATATCTGGTGAGAAATTATAGCTTTATTATCTGTTAATTAGAAACTTTCTGACCACATATTGAACGTCGAGTCACGTACGATCGCACGATTTTCACAATATTTTGCGGCGAGTTTCGTTTGTTTTATTCATCTTATTGTTTATCCTTCTTGCATCCAGCTTGTCGAATTTTATTTCTAATTAATTTTACTTCTTTCTAAGTAGGTCAATTTTGAGCTTGCTTTACTCGCTCGAGTCTCGTGTCCTCTTTGGGGTTGCAGGACGAGCAGTGCTTACTTATCGATTGCCTTGGTCGTATTTCTAAGACTATTGATTGGATCTATGAACAAGCATTTGAGTTCGCACGCTTTTGTGAATTCATCAATCTTAATCCGATATAGCGATACTTCATCTAAATTAACCATGATTTCATCAAAGATTTATTACGTTTTAATGAATTTCGAAAAGTACTGTAATGAAAAGCGTTTTCATCGAATTGGACAAAAATCTCGAGTCATTCTGGAAGGGAAGAAAGTTTTAGGAATTTTTACAAAATATATATGAATCGATCACAAAATACTCATACACACAATCGGCTACAAACACACTCACGTACACGAGAATAAACGCGTATAGTAATCAATAATAACACGATGAAAACATTCTCTGATGGAAAATATCTCATCGCGACTTCGTCAGCAATTACGCTTCAGCTGTTTCTTCTCAATTTTGTTTCAATACTATATTGGTTCTATCATTTTGTTATCAAGCTTCTTTATGTACTCTTTTATTACGCCTTTTTGTTGCAAGTATAAAATCGTGATCGTACTCGATTGAAAAGGCGACAAATTTTCTGACCGATGAATTTTAATCAACTTGTGTGTGTGTGTGTGTGTGTATTTGTATGTGTGTATTTATTTTTTATGCTTAACAGAGATTTACACTTTATACATGTGGCGATTGAAAGGATAAGCAAACGATAGCGATGGTATTGTTTTTTATGAAAGTTAAAACTTTACTTCATAAATCAATTATTTCTTATCACGAATTTTCATAAATTTAAATTCAGATTTTTCGGCGAAATTCATTTTTACAATCGTTCTTTTCTTATATATTTGCGCTTTCAATTGCTACGCGCTTTTAATTGCCTATAAGAACTTTTGTATATAAGTGATTTGCGTGTTTTCTACCGCTTACGCGTTTTTCTTCTAACGAATCACGTGTGTGTTGAAAAAGTTTATGTTCGAAAGACGATACTTTTATTCGTTTGGAATATATTTATAATACGTTGAGAGCTTTAAGTGCGAAATATATAATATTAATAATATTAATTCAAAGAAAAAAAATATTAATATTAATAATATTAATCGAATTCGGTTGAATACGATAGATTTTGCATGATAATTATAAAAGTATCGAGCTCGATCTATTTCAATGTGAAAGCGTTTAATCGATGTACATTTGTACTTACTGTTACTGTTTTTAATGTTTGAAAGTGATTTTTCTTAAACGGAGAGCTTCCAAATTTTCGGCAGGTAAGAACGAAGAGGAAGCATGGCAGAATCTCCGTTTCTTTTTATCGCCGTTTCTAAATCGCCTAAAATTAATTTCGATGAGTAGCTTTCTTTTTCTTTATTTTGGCAATTGCTTGCAGGCCAATTTGCAATTATTATCATACTCTGTTCGAATTAGATACATCAATAGCGATCATAATTTGATGTATCTTGGAAGACCCGAAAAATTGTACTCTTCTCGAAACTTTATACATATTTAGAAAAAAACTCTTTCTATTCTTTTTTTTCTCTTTCTTTCTTAAATCGAACTTACGACAAGAAAGTCGTCACTTTAGTCGTCTCAAAAAGCAGACGCGATGCTTTAACAACGGCATGCTGAAAACTCTTTCAGCCTTTAATTGTCGATTCGCGACTAAATTGACTGAGGCGCGGTTCTTCGCTTTAATGATTGATGAGCAACCGAAGTGACGACTTCCGGCGAAAGTGACACTTCCAACATGGAAATGGCCTTCACGCGAGCATCATATTATTAGTTTCTGATAAATGTCTGTGCAAGACGTGTAATGGAAATGATAGACTCAATCTGCCGTAATTTTTGCGACTTTAATGCGAAAGATGAGTATCTCTATATCGAGAAGCCGAAAAATAATTATTCTAAAAGAAAGGGATTTTTAAGGATTTGTTTCTTATTTATTTTGTATATATATCGTTTAGACATAAATATATTTTACTGCAAAGCACAATTCATCCTAGCACGAGCAATTTTGTCACGCGAGACAAATATGTGTTATTATATCTCGATAACGAAAGTGGCAAATATAAAGTAGTAACAGACGGCGTTGAGTAAGGCCGATTTCTGTGTCTCGAAAGTGTAGACTGGACTAGAATCGAGAGGAGATGTTTCGCAGACACTTGACAGATGGAAAAAATAATCAATTATTTTCAGACAACAACTCTGATCGGACTCCTGAAAACGGCCCGTCTACTGCGTCTTGTTAGGGTAGCCAGAAAGATCGATAGATACAGCGAATACGGAGCTGCAGTTTTGTTGCTCTTAATGGCCACCTTCGCTCTCATTGCTCATTGGATGGCGTGCATATGGTGAGTAATCATGTACCTTTGAAATGCTTTTTACGTTACGACTTTAATATAAAATATTGATACATCTCTTCTGTGACTTTATGACTAATTTGAAGTTGATTTTCCTTTGGGAAAATTTTTTTTAAAATATATGAGTCGAAGAGATATTTTTGTAAATATTCTTTGAAACTTCTTTTTGAAACATTTTTGTAAATATTCTTTGAAACTTCTTTTTGAAACATCCTAAGCTCGGCTATTTTGCATTTTTTAAAGGTACGCTATAGGAAACGCCGAGAGACCAACCCTGAAGAGTAAGGTTGGTTGGCTGGATATTTTAGCCAACGACACGCATCAATTTTATTTTCACAATAACACTGGTGGGCCGAGTATAAAAGTAAGCCATTCGTTCTCGAGCTACGTTTTATTTGAGATCGCACGCGTAATCCCTGTTTAACGATGTAACTTTTTTCAGAGTCGCTACATCACGGCGCTGTATTTTACCTTCAGTAGTCTTACGTCCGTAGGCTTTGGGAACGTGGCGCCCAATACCGATGCCGAGAAAATCTTTACAATAATCGTCATGTTGATCGGATGTGAGTCGATAAATAATAATGGATCTGTGCAGAGAAGCTTTATTAGAGAATTAGAAAAACTTTTTTTAAAAAGTGGTTTGATAGATAATAATCATAAAAAAAACTTTAACACAAGGCTGTTAAAGTCTTTTTTAGCTTTATTAGAGAAGCATTATTAAAGATAATATTAACAATATTAGATATATAATAATTAGACGAAAATTATAATGAAAATAATTAAAATAAATGCTTTTTGTGATGAATATTTCATAGGAAAAAGGATAACAATATTTAATATTCTTCGCGAAAGACAGTCTTTAAATCCTTTTAATCATCTTTTGAAAATTTAATTTATGATGAAACCAATTGAATATCCATTCACTTTATGTTACGATGATTTCAGCTCTGATGTACGCTAGCATCTTCGGTAATGTATCGGCGATTATTCAAAGGTTGTACAGCGGCACGGCCCGATATCACACGCAAATGCTCCGAGTTAGGGAATTCATAAGATTCCATCAGATTCCGAATCCCCTTCGGCAGAGATTGGAGGAGTATTTTCAACACGCATGGACCTATACGAATGGCATCGACATGAACAGTGTTCTGAAAGGGTTCCCTGAGTGCCTTCAGGCTGACATCTGTCTTCATCTCAATAGGAATCTTTTAAACAATTGCTCAGCTTTTGAGGGAGCAAGTCCAGGCTGTTTAAGGTAATTTTATTCCCGATCTATTTCAAAACTCTTGCAGAAATAATTTCGAAATAGAATTTTTTTACCCTTGTTTTAATAATATATGACTTTTATGCATAATTGATTATGCATGATGGAATGTTTCCTTTTTCACAAAACAGGGCATTATCCTTAAAATTTAAAACAACGCACGCGCCGCCGGGTGACACTTTAGTTCATCGTGGGGACGTGTTGACCTCCCTCTATTTTATATCCCGCGGGAGTATTGAGATTCTGAAGGACGACATCGTAATGGCCATTCTGAGCAAGGACGACATATTCGGCGAGAATCCGTGCATTTATCCGACAGTCGGAAAATCGTCCTGTAATGTTCGTGCCCTTACTTATTGCGATCTTCATAAAATCCATCGGGACGATCTGCTTGATGTTCTGGCGCTTTATCCAGAATTCGCCAACCACTTCAGCCAAAATCTCGAGATTACTTTCAATATGCGAGACGTAAGTACTTCTCAATATTAATATACATAATTAATTCTCTTTTTCTCTCTGTTTTGCCTCGAAAATTTAATTACTATCTGATTACGAAATTTATTTAAAAAAATTTATATATTTATTTATATTATATTTTATAATCTTAAGACTTTTGTTCGCAATTTTGTTCGCAATTTTGCTTTATAATTATTATTTAAATTAGCTTAATAATTTATATCGGTGCCAGACTAATATAATTACAGTCCAATTAGCGAGTGACATTAAATTATCGTTTCATTTCAGGAGGAGCAGGCTGGTGTCGATCCAATATCAGCAAGGTTTCCTGTCAGCACTCCTACCGACGTCGATATCGACGCCAGGAGATTCGCTTTCCGTCCACCAAGATATCGTCGAGGACCAGGTGGTGGTCCTGGCACAAATCTTATTCCCACAGGTCGACAAGATTCCTTGCAAGACGATCAAGATGACTAGTAAGATCAGATTAATTACAAATTACTTAAAAATTAAGGACAGATAAAAATGCAGTGCTAGCTGAGTATGATTGATTGAATCAAACTTTTTGTAGTATATTCTCAATTTGATTTTTATCTGTTGCAGTGATAAGAGCAGCGGCCATGGTATCTTAGAGTTCAGCACGGACAAAGCCGGTCAAGACGTAACGCCTTTGAATCTAGAATTTGACGAGCCCAAGCAGAGAAGTACGACATTGAATTCGATAACTGGTGAGAGTGATTATTTCCTCGTTTCGAGGATACTATGATCTTTCTTTCTCTCTCTCTCTCTTTCTCGTGTTTGTTCCTAATATCCTGTTTGAGGAATGTTGTTCTTTGCACGACGATATAGAACCTCCATAAAGCAGGATATCTTTTTTTAATATATCGATCGAGATTTCGAATATTTTCTTTCTGACTAATAATAGTAGGTATCCTTTATAAAAATTATATCCTTTATAAAAATTAGTTGCAAACATTTGCGCTTACATTGATGTTTCACAAATAGCGCTAAATATATTTATATAAATCTCTCGACTCTAAATTTGCCTGATTTTAGATTTTACTCATCTAGTATTGCGCAGATTAAAGATACGGGATCATATAAATACATTTGGCGCTAAACATTTTGCGCGACGTAAACGTGAATCTTAAAATCAATCGCTCAGATTCGATTAATTTGCAATGATATTAATGTATTTTTTTCGTAGGCTTTTTTCAAAGTGTATCTTGCCTCCAGATCGATGTAGCTCACATTATGTTATCGGTTCTTTCGGTCTATTTGGCGTTTTGTTAACGTTATATCATTTTTCTGTTGTAGATTTCTTTTTTTTTATTTCTTTCTCTCTCTCCCTCCCTCAAGCTCTCCGCGAATTGCTTTTCGTTTGAATCCCAAGTTCGATAACACCTTGAAACCTGGTTGTTCAGGCATGCTAACCCATCTCAAGCGCAGCATACCGGATCTACGTCAGCACAAGATTCACCTGCAGCCGCTTACCAGCCACGATTATCTCGCCAAGCAAAGTGAGTATATTTCGGATATTTCGAGTGTCGAAGTAGATTGGCCAGATCGTGCACGATTTAAAGCGTCCCCGACCTGCGGAGATCCGCTGCACCAGAATCCAGAAGAGAACGTATGACCATCGATTCACTTGTACCCCTTGATCGCGATGCACGTCGTAGTAAAAGATCCCTTAGCGCGGATATATTTGTGTGTATGTGCGATAAGAGAATATCCTTTTTTTAATACTCTCTCTTTCTCTCTTTTTTTCTCTCTCTCTCTCTTTTATTCTCTCTCTCTTTTTTCTATTCATTCGCATATACTCGCGATATTCACTGATGGCGTTTAAACCTAGTAACCACCCCACTGACGAAACCAGCGCGCCGAAGTTCCGCCGCTGGCGAGAGTAGCCTCAGTCAAAACGTCGTTCGTCCCACTTCGACAACGTCGAGCCACTACACCACACCATCGCCCCCGCAGCATCCTCATTCCCATGGTAGGGGCTCATTTCTCTTAATCTCAGTAATTTACGCATGATTCATTCGTTACTTGTCACTCGACGATAAAAAATTCCGCGCGTCTTGTGTCATCACCTCTCGTACACGGTTATTATACTATCGATCCTATTATCGTGAGATGCGATGCGACTTGTATACGCATCTTTTGGACGATCGAGTTATCGCGTGACGAACACGTTTGCTCTTTCAGGCGACTTCCAGAGCGGCCCGGGTCGGCCCGTGGAGGAAATCAACGCCAGGATCGATCTGCTGTCGCGACAGGTGTCCTCGCTGGAGCACTCGATGGCCGGCGATATCAGATTGATCCTGAGCTTGCTCCAGCAGACGCTCAACTCGTCCAGGGAGAGCTCCAGCATCGAGATGATGCCGGGAACGGCGGGGGCTGGCGCGAGACAAAGTAGCCGGGCGCCAGCGTTGGTTCAGAGATCAGCGAGCGAACCGCAACCGCCGACGGTTCCGTCGAGCAACGGAAACGGGAAGATTCAGCCCAGCACGTCGCACGGCTTGTTTAGGTAAGTTAGCGAACACCGGGATCTCGCGTGTTAAATTTTGCTTCTAATTATCCAGTCGGATCGCGTTCCTCTCGTGCGCGTTGAAAGACGACGCATTGAAGATAGATAGTGCGCGACAGCAACGCGTTCGGATTACGGTAGAGGGTTTACGATGTTTCGCGGTGCAGTAGACTCCTATGAATTAAAATGTAAGAATCCCGCACAAAGTAATCGATATTTTGTTATTCTTGGAAAGCCTTCTTTCGAAATCCCTGGATCAGTTGCATTTGATTTCGGCGTCTTTTATTTTGGAAAAGTTGGACAAGTTCCGAAGGTGACCATTATCACGTATTCTTCTTTGAACCCTTTGCGAGCAGTGTCACGGGAATCGAGTTCAAACGATGATTATTATATCCATAATGTCGAGACTTACCCTTGTATTTACACAAGCATGATTATGTAAAATTCTAAAAACCAGTAGTCGCGTTAATGACTGGCATCAACAATTTTCTGTAAAGCAGAGATGTAGATTTTCTTCTGAAGGCGACGTGTATCATTATTGATTTCATATCTTTATCTTAGAGTATTGTATTTTTAGACACACTCTTTCCGTAGAAACATTTCTAATTTCGTCGCACGCTTATAAAGTTCATAATATCGAATATTTAGAAATGCAAGAAACATTAAGTTGAAATGGAAGTATTTTTTACTAGACAAGTATTTCTCTAATTTTAGCACGTACTTCTCTGTTTCTTTCTTTCTTCTGTCTATACTCGCTCTGGCGTATAATCTCTGCAATTTCTAAGCATTCTTCTTCGTTTCGAAAGAATATACTTGACTTAGCAGTAGTTAACAATGTTGGTTAACAATGTTGGTTAACTTTAGCTTAATTATTTTTTGTCTTTTTACGTGTAGTTAATGAAACTATAGTTGAAGTTGAAAGAACCGACTTTTTGATATGACAAATCATTCTTCACTCTTAACTATTTCTTCGCTCGCGTGCATTTGGATATATTACTCTCATCATCATCTGTTATTCGTGTATGGATATATTACTCTCATCATCATCATCATCATCTATTATTCGTACCATTCAATCGTAGCTGAGAAAAACGGTCGATGTCGGTCCTATTGCGCGATCAATACCCCGAGGTCGTCGTGACGCTGCTCGGAATCAAACTTAGAAGATTAGAGGCCTGTCGAATTCTCCACTGTACATATAACCACGTACGCTTCAAGTATTACTATCTCAGCTATCTTTAGCGGTTCTACTTATTATACTTATGAGAAAGCTCGCGCGTGCATCCGCGCGTCGATCCAGCTGAGAACGTCATTCCCCTCTGTAGTAGACCTCCCACGAGGGAGCCGACCTCCACGTCATCGGGCACGTCGCGGCTGACCGTCACGTCGGAGACGTCCGCGCTTGCGACGGCGTTACAGACGGCGTTGAACAGTCGCACCGGACCCACGAGGTCGCAGAGCCAACCGGTCGATTTGGCTGTACCGACCAGCGCACAGCAGCAGGCTCACGCTTGGCACAGTCAGCCCGCAGCCTTCAGAAGGGGTGAATACCGGAGTGGGTAGGTAGTTTGATAAAGGGCTTCTCGCTTCGTGAAAGATTTCTTCCTGGACCTAAAGAGAACTGCACAAAATATTGGATCCAGCAGGTGTACAAATAAGCCTTCCACTATTTCTCGTAAAATTCGATGTTTATTAACAAATTATACATGTACAGTTCGAAAGTAATCATTTTTCAACATAAAGATAGTGGAGAATTTATTTATACATCTAATAAATAGTAAATTGGAAAATTCGACTGGTGGTGGTGGCGCCTTTTCCATCCTTTCCAAAATCAAGAGTTCGTTTCGAGGGTTTATCGTATCGTTTCCAACTTTCTCGATTTGGAAAACGCGCTACCGCGTGTCGGTTGCCAAACCGCGGACACCGATCCTCCATCCGCGTTTTGGCAACCGGCCTACGCCGATCGGGACGATTCTACCAACGCGTTGACCAAAGCGTGCCCTGCGGCAGATACAGCTCGTTCAATAAACGATCGGAGCAAGAGGGCGAGGATCCCTGGAGCTGCATAGCATCGGAGGAACGAGGGGGTAATGGCGCCCAGCGTCCTCGTAGCGGCGACTCGCGCAAGGACTCGTCGAATCATCGCGGTGGCAACGGTACCGAGTCCACGTCGGGGCAACAGGGTCGGTCCGAGGGCAGACAGCAGGAGGGCGGAGGCAGGGGCCAGCAGACGAGCGGATCGCGACAGCAGGAGTCCTCGAGGCAGATCAGCGAAGACATGTCATGGGAGTTTACGATAAACGAAGCACCCATCGCCAGGCTGGAATCGCTGGACGAGCTCGATCAAGATCACGGTAGTTAAGGGGGAAGTGGAGGAAGGGGGAAAAAATTCTGTCCTGTCAGCCGGGAGCTCATAATGATCGGTTCCCTCGTTTCGTCGAGGGGATGCGAAAAGTCGAACGTGACCGGGGCCGTTTTTGATTCCTCCCTCGAGGAAATCTCGTTTTTAATTCGATCGACAATGTAGTCAACGCGATGCGACGCTTATATCGAAGTTAAATCATACAGCCGAGCCGCGAGCAACGTAACGCGACGCCTGCAGGTCAACCTTAGAGCGTGTAACGTTAAAGGGAGCGTAGAGAGTTGAAAGTAGGAATCTCCATTTGCTAATGATTCGTTTATATTGAAGCTGAAAAAATTAAAAAGAGTGACATAGTTGAGGTATCGTAAACGCTCTCTGTACATCGACATAATTTTTTAAATTTTTTATTCGAATTATAATTGATATGAAAAGTATAAGATACTTGTAATAATATTCCATAAATGTGAGAATTAAGAGAGTATTATAATAGAAGAATTTCGAAAAGTTATATATTACGATAAGATATTATATAATTATTAAGCGTTGAAAAAATCGAAGAAATTTGGCGTTTTTTTAAAAATAAATATTAAAATATGAACTTTATGCTTCCTCCAGTTACATACGCTCTAGAACATCAACGGACCTGTAAGCGCGAAGATCATTTTTTGTACTCGAAATATTGGCTGCGTATGTAATGTACATTTTCGTATAATGTAAATGTACTCTTTTTTTATTTGTCAAGAGTTTCTCTCGCATAATATCGACGGCCGTCATGTCTCGTTTCGCTGTGCTAATTCGGATTAATCGGTCGCTTGTTAAAAAACATCGTACGATTTAGGCTCTTAAAACATTCGGCTTCAGGAGGAGCGCTTGTCTCTTTGGGATTCCCGACAGCAGCAGTTCGGACAATTCGATATTCGTTTCTTCATATCGATTTTTTAAGCGATCGAGAAGAGAAGCAAACGAAAGGAATATATCGCCAATTAGACGCCAATTATTTTACTCACACAGGATCGCAAATAATTATTTATATATATTTACACGTTGACACACTCGTACGCGTTGTATATCATAAGATAGGCACGTTAAAGGCGAATGAAGTGCATTGAAAGTACATTGGAATCGCTGAGATTTTGACGGAGGACGAAATCGCGAACCAAGTGTTTCGTCTTGCGCGAGATTAAACAGTCAAACAAAAAATATCTAACCCGTTAGATATCGCATAGATACAATAAATATGGCTGGATGCGAAAAGTATAATGCTGATGATTAGAAAAGTAAACTAAGAAAAATGATTGTCTTAGCTGATTTATTATCACGCGAAATATTTTGATAGCCTTCGAGTCGCATTTTCGCCGTCTTTCGATGCTAAAATGCGGTGGAAACGCGATACCTTTGGATCGATATCTATTTGCTGGTGAATGAAAGAGCGAAAAGAGTAATTTGCGAGCGAATAGTCGCGATTTCTGGCGGGTTATCAATTAAGACGATCGTTAGGGCACCTTCTTTTTTATTCTCGCTTTATAGGCAACGTTAGGTTTACGACGGTATTAAGGTAACGATAACTTAAGACAAGTATTTCGCGTTACCGAAAGGTATTATCGCATAGCAATTTAAGCCGAAACATCGGCGGAACACGAAGAAACGATTTTTTTCAGGCGCCGTACAAAGTAGCCATGTCCTTTATACAGACATAACGCGACAGAACATAATGTTGCACAGGCGACATTAGACGATTATCAAGATCATTATAATTATGCTTGTCATATTGTCGTAATTATGATTATGTTTATTATTATTATTATTATTAGTCTTATGTGATTATTATCGTTATTATTATTATTACTGTTATCTCACTATTATACAGCAATGAAAGAAGCGCAAGTGTGACAAGGGGGAAGCGGGGAAATGAAGAAAATTACACCGACGACATGATGCCTACGCAATAATATATATACTTCTACATATATACACATATATACAGAGAGAAGAAAACGTATAGATGTGTGTGTGTATATATACATATATACATATATATTCTATAAATTTTTTACGAAAGCATTTCGAGTCGCTATTGCTCCTAAACGCGTATAAACGTTGGTTTCTCTTCCTCTCTTTTCGTTTCTTGTCCTCCCGCAACATCTCTCAATTTCCGTCACTGGTGTCGCGAACAGCGGTCAAAAGGAGCTGGAAAACAGCGATCGATCGATCCTGGGAATCTTACCTTGACTCGAGGCTTTGCGGTAAATTTTTATATTTACGATTTGCGATCGAGACAAGAGAATAAGAAAGAGAAAGAGAGGAGTCGGACAGATATTCGCTACGAACGGCGCTTCGAGATCGTTCACGGATCATCGATCGCTGATGATCTGTTCGTTCTTTGCTCAGTATTCTAGGCTGTACAGAATACATTCGATGTATTACGATTAAACACACACGATTCATAGTTAACTCTCTGCGACGAAGCGGTGGTGCAGCAGCGCAGCGCTAATAAATGATAGGAGGGAGGGGGGGATGAAAACGCAGCTTTCAATTCCGCAGATGACGATTTTTTGATTGTTAAATTATCAGTAGTACACGCAGCGCACGTGGATTCTCGCACTTAGGTACACGGCAGGAGTTGTACGTACGATTAAGTACGATTCTTTAGAAGGAGGGAAGAGAGTCCGGCGTGATCCCGATCGAGAGCGACCACGTTCACTGCACGAAATCTGTCTCGAATCACTGACATATGACAAAAATACATATCATCGCCTGGCTCTGTCGCCATATCAGTTTCAATTAAAGAAAATAAAAGTGGAAGTGTAAATTGAGGGGGCTGGTTCCTCTCTCGAGAAATATTACAAGTCTATAAAAAGACACCCTACTCCTTAACTGGTACGGCATTATCTATTAGAATATCACATTATAAATAGAATGGGGAATTTTTTCTTTTCTTTATTTGTGCCTTAAAAATAAATAATATCTACATTTTTGTTTTTTTTTTTTTATTTTAGAAATAAACTGAGAGCAATATTCCAGTGTCGTACCAATTAAGGATTATCTCCCTCGGTGTCTTCTCAATCAATATCGCTATTTTTATAGACGGATATAAAGAATATGAAGAAGCAATGCTCATAATTTTATCATATATGATACTAAATAAATAATCACGACAAATTAAGAATATATTATCCGCACATTTTATTCATATATATTTTAGAATATTATATATAAAAGATATTTAAATTGTACGAGACTTCGGTGTAAAATCGACAGGTAAAGATCTATATAAAAATTATTTTAAAGGAAATAAAATTGAAAATTACTTAAATTATTTTTGATATTCGGAAATAATCTGAAAATGACAGGATTGAAGAAATCTCGATGCGAAAAATTGAGAAGCTTTAAGCGGTTGAACGTGATCGCTCTCAATCGCCCAGAAACAGCCAGCGAAGAGGCTGAGCACGCGAGATGCGAAAGTGAGGAGCACGCGTGATTGAGAAGTTGTCTCTTCTTGTGTTATGAAATTACAAGTCGCACTCGAGTGCCCGATCGGTCGCAGAAACTACGTTTAAAGATACTTTAACACGTTACGTCTTTCTCGCGCTCGGGGAAACATACATATGTAAAACATTTTATACATAGTGTCTGCGCCCAATTATAAACTTATGCTGTGCAAGACAAATGCGTCGCTTCTTCGATTCCAAGGGAGATCGAGAGCAGAGCAGAGCAGTTGAATAGCTTGTAATTACAATTAAAAAGTCGACGTAATTAAATTCGCTCTCGGAATCCCACCGGGACAACTATCATGGAAGCAAAGAAGTATCTCACTTTTATTATTAATATTCCGCATTTTAATGGAAAGAGGAAATAGAGAAAGAGAGAGTCCGTTGAAAAATTATTTCGTTTAATGAAAGCGGCCGCGCTGCAATTTCTTCTTCAATCTGAGGGAAAAGTGCGGGAATGACGGACGCAATCGCTTCTTTATATCTCGAGAGCTCGATTCTAATTACGTCGACTTGTTAATCTTTGCTACCGTACGTGCTCGCATCTGTCTCCTTGTAGAATTCCGAGAGGTTTTGGTGTCGCGGAGAGCCTTTCTAGTTCCGGCAATTTCGAAATCGCTTATAAAGAACGCTGAGCGCGAAATTCGTTATCGAGGCAGGATCATTCGAGGTCCTTCCATCGCGATGTTACACTTCGTCCTTCGTCTTTCGAGTGGCTACGCACCGAGTATCATCGAGTACCTTGATCCCTCAGATTCTCAATCTCTATCGCCTGTCCGCCGATAAAAATAGAATCCTGCGATTTATCATCGAAGCCGCATCTTGCTTTTTTTTCTTCTATCGCGGTTGGCTCACTTGCACGTCGAGAAATGTGTGAACACGTAGTTGTATGAATGAAGAGAGTTCGCCTCACGTCCAGACTTACATGCGAAGGCGTACTTATAGAGATTATCGATTCCGAAAAAGTGGAAGAAGAGTATATTTGACAAAGCTCACAGCTAATTCTGCGTCGGTTCAGAACCGAAAATTGGACTGAAATTGGATTGAAGCCTCGATCATATATATCTTCTTTCATTTTCGCGTGCGAAATAAAAGAGTGAAGAGAAGCAAAGAGAAGAAGGATAGTGAATGAAAGGAGGGAAATTCCTACAACCGCGGTAGATGAATTCAATCGCGTGTTCTTTACCCAGATTCAGCGATTATTGTTCTGTATATATACATATATATGATATAATCTCTTGGATCATGTACGATTGTACGCCGAGCGCACTGATTTGTAAACACGTAACATGGAAATTAGTTCGAAAGTGAGCGTGACAAAGGAGAGAGACTTCTTGCACCGCCCCCGCTTCGCTCCTGCCCTCCAGCTAACACTCCCGGCTGTAGGAGATGATCTGTGAGTTCCGTTACGTTGTCGAACTACCCGATGCGTTTCCTCTAAGATGGAAAACAAACGATCTTGAGTGGGAAATAAACGTTGGATTCGCTAGCTTTAGTTTTGTCCATTTAAAAACTAAGGCATTGTTTCCCTGCATTTTTCTTTTAATTAAAAATTACACTTGTAACGGTTTAATTAGATTTTAGATGCAACAGGCGAGAGAGAAAAATGGCATGAATATGCTACTTCAGATGTTAAATCACACATGTTATGTGGATATGAAATATTAAATTTTCTATATTATCGCGTAGATTGTTAGTTACATGACCGAGATTCGATGGTGATTGGCGGTGGAGCAGGTGCTGGGAGTGGCGGTGGTACCGATGGTGACGAAGCCGTGTTGTGTATCTATAAGTTTTCATATATTGCATAAAATATGTTTATTACATATTTTCACTATGCCAATTTATGCATTTATTTATTCATGTTTGCCTCACTCTATCCGGCTTCCCCGAGCTTATCCTCTAATCTGTCATTTAATTAGCAAATTCAACGATATCACGAAAAACAAATCATTGGCTATTAAACAAAACAAAATTATGGACTGAAAAAAAGATTTTTAATTTTCGTTGCTCTATATAATTGCTAATAAATTTATAATATAATGCTAATAAATATTTTTATAAAATATTTATAAATATACTTATAATTTATATCATCTTATTCTGTCTCTCTAATGCTGTATCAAAAATTATTAGAGATTCATGATAACGGAAAATAATAACAAAAATGGATAACATACATGCATTATATTTTTAAAAACACGACAGACTGGAAAAAATATTCTTTCTTTAACGGAGCGTAAAATTCATCATTACTGCGGAATTGATTATCAATTTATTGAAGAATTACCGCTCTCAAGATTCGAAGCGAATCGAAGTAAGGTAAGTGAAAACATTCTCGCAATAAATATTACGACATACACGACAAATAATCTAACAATATGAGCACGACATATTAAATAAACGAGTGATTTATCTTATCGATCCCTAAACCTCTTATATTTTACTGGAAACTTTGCTTTTATCACTTTCGTTATATTATTTACATTTATTAAATCAGCAATAAGACATCATTTATTTATTATTTCATTATTAATACGAAGCTATATCCGTGTAAAGTCATCTTACGCATTTTTGATGTTTCAATGTTTAAATATTATATAGTTGACACGCAACCGAGACTTATATAAAAATAATTAATGCGCAGTGAAAACGCACCGCAAACCATCGCGATTCAGAGGTCGATTATTCGAAACTTATTGGAAACTCGATGTCTGGAATGAGCCAGGAAACACCTATGAACGAAGCACGGATCTGTCGTTACAATTCGATGCATAGCAATCATCTCGTTATTACGTAGAACATAAAATACAACTCATAAATTATATCCACGACTAATCGGCTCTCCTTCGTGAATTACAATCGGAGATATAAATCGATATCTATAACGACATACTTTCTATTCCATATCGTCGGAAAGACAATAGAGGTAAAGGGACCATCACGCTGTAATGATTTTAGTTTCATTCCGCGTGGGCGAGAGTTGTCAGAAAATTGCATATAATAATTATCGATGAATAATATAAAATAATTATTTATTTTATAATCAAAAGAAATGAATATTAAAATTGAAATTTATAATATATGTAATTTTGTAATATAAATAGCGGAAATATCTTTTATTAACAGTTCATTACTCATGTATACGCAAATGAAAACGATTATTTAGTTAGCAAGCTTGATATTCTAAAGAGGTGACACATGTTCCGCATGTCAACTTTCATTCACGTGACTTAACTCGTGAATTTCATCAAAAATAATCTCAAGCCTTTCCTTTTCCGCGTTTCTACGATGCACCTTGCAACATGCGTCCGATGTGATGTGTATAATATTTTCCACCCATCGCGAATTTTGGTTCGCACTCGTGACAGGTTGTATGTTGACGCGATAAAAATCGAAGAAAGTAAATGAGTGGTTCCACATGACAATACAATGCTTGGCAGTCTGACATCAGAAATGCTAATAACATCCGTATTATTTTTCATTGTTTGAAACAATTGTTTTTTCACCTTCATTTCACGACATTCTAAAACGTTTTTTTGCATTCTCCATGATTATATTTACTTACCGATTTGATTTATTAATACAATCGATCATTGCTTACCATAAGCGAAGACACAATTGTATAATAAATCAATACGTCAAAATTCCAAAGTGGCGATCGTGAAATCACAGATTTTTTTGGGACATTGCACTTAACCGTCAAGCCATCAAAAGTTTAGTTAATAAAAGCACAATATTGTAAATTTATATCATTATATTATCATTACAGTCTTTTTATTTTTACGTTAATTTTTATATTTAAATCTCATATTTATAAAATAATAAAGCACGAATTAAATCGGAGATAATATAAAATTAAATTGATGATATATTCAAAAAATGTTAATTCGAAATTTCAATTTTATAAAATATACCTGTTTGCTTTCTTTTTCAATTATTTACGTAATGATTAATTACCTACACGACAGGAAATAATAAAATTTGCTCGGTTATTATTCACGAGGTAAGCTATAATAATAATAGTAATAGTACGTAATAGTACGAGCGTCAATTTCGATAGATCCATAACCGGGCAAGATGGATGTCACTTTCCTACAAAGTGGGAGTCGGTATAAAGAGAGAATCTATCCCATGGCGATGGTCAGTGAGCTCAGTGAGAGTGCCGTGATCATTTCGCCGTCGTACGTGAAAGTCAAGTATGAAGGTACGCGTTTCGCAAACTTATTGTTGTGCCTCTCGCTTCGTAAAGATGTGCAAAGTGTCAATCATCTAAACGCCCGTATAAAAGACACAATTAATTCGTGTCGGGATTAATCCGTGTGATTGATATTCATCGATTTCTCGCATCTCTCATCATCTAGATGACTCACAAGTTTTATCGCGAGCAATTAAAAAGTGTCATAATTTTTTTATCAATAAAATCTTACATTTTCCTTTCGAAATCTCCTCGATCGCTAATTCCGTATATTTATCATCATTAGCGGCGTGTGTTTGCCGATTTCACGCCACTCGAGAGCAAGGCGCCTCGCTTCTCAATGCCACGTGAAAGTTCTGTCCGTAACCTTTCTTCGGTACACTCCTCGTTGCGAGTTTCACACGCAACAATGAGAACGGGACAGTTTCCTCAACAACTGCACGGACCGCGAGCCGTAAAGGAATAATTACTTCGTGGCTAAAATGCCTTTGTCGAAAGTTACCGCATCCGCGTCTTTTCTAAGACGATAAGCTTACTTTAACAAGCCACATCGTTTCATGATTTAAGATGTTAATTCCGAATGCATTGTATTTATTATAGATTCTGCTCTTACTTTAGCTTACATTCCATTCTTATTATAATTGCAGATTTAGTCTGGTTATTTATTAGATGAATCTGAATAACTTTTCACGTGTCGACCTTTTTGGCTACGAGTTTCTATTTACAAAGAGAAAGGTGTTTAATTTTTTATGAGGTATTTTTATTATGTGGCTTTAAGTTTTTCAAAAGTATTTTTAATATTCTTCGGATAGATTGCGAAATCATGGAAAAGATTAATTTTATCTGCTTATGTTACTTTGATGTACACATGTATATCTTCCTGTAAGATTTACTTTCTAATTCGACTTACTTGTAGTAATAATCGTGCGCGTCTAATATATAGCAAAAGATGGAAGATATGATAAAAAGAGAGATCACACTTTGCAAATTTTATTTGCAAAGTGTGATCTCTCAAACCGGAAGTTTGTCTTCCGGTTTATTTGTTACTTCATATCGATTTTCTTTGCAAAGAAAATCGCCTTTTTTTGGAAAACTTATCTAATAATTTTGTCTAATACGAAAACTAAAAATATTTATTAGCTGGCGTTTAATTGCTGCTTTTTAGAAACCGTCGAGAATGCACGTGTCAAACTAGGTCAGTCAAAGACCTGCAAGATCAAGGTTACAACGATCACTCTCGCTCATTCAAGCGATAAATGATCAACAGAATTGTTTAAACGTTATTGAAACAATTCGTCATTGTTTCTCGTGGACACGTGTGTTGAGATCGATCGTCATATGATTTATTTATGACAAGGTTAATAATTACTCTCGCTAATACTCGTAACAAACCAGATTGTTCTGCAGAGAATGAATTGCGCAACTTTGTACCGCGCTTTATATTACTAAGGAGCGATGTTTCGTTTTATTTGTCTCACTACATCTATGTGAAACTATCAGTATTGACGAGATGGTCGTTTTTGCCTCAAGTCATGTATACCACCGATTCATGTAGTGAGTGTATTTCGAGCCGCCGGTAGTCGCGTGACTTTCACTCACCTGGCGTCGCTCTACTTGTTGCACTCCTATTGATGCGCTTTATACTTGAATAATTCTTTCAAGATCAATCCTTGACCCTCAGAATAATCTGTAGGCATTAATTTGATTTATATAATATATTTGATTTATATAAGAACGTGATAGAAATGTTCCTAAGGCATTGCTAGCATTTACCATTGCTATCATCGATATACAATCAATGATGTATAATTGTTGCTTCCCAGTTTCTTATAGATAATCTTATAGATTCTTATAGATTAATTCTTAAAGAAAAATCATTTAAGATCCAAAGAATACACATAAATCAATAGATATTTATTTATTTATTTATTAAAGAATGATAAACAGGAAAGAAAATCTCTTTATACAAAAAAAAAAATTCAGAAAGATTTACAGACGTGTATAAGATAAAAATGCATTAGAAAAGACAATTAATCTGATTAAATTTTGGGAAATAGAAAAATTTAAGTAAAAGAATAATATTTGTAGATAGAATTACATATTTGAATTAATATGCAAAATATTTAAATTAAACAATTAGATAAAATTAAATCACTATAATTAAGAACATATATTATTATTAAAAGCTAGCAAAGCAGCGCTCGATTAAATGGAATCAGTCCCAATGGAATATGAAAAAAGTCAACATGATCGGATAAATTATTCACGTCATCAGAGATATATTCTATTTAAAAATTTAAACTTCGTAGTAAATAAGATATTTTCCTCCATGGAATAGTATCTAATTTCTCAGAGAGAAATTACCTTGCTGGAATATGAAACTTTATACAATAATTATTAAATCTGGAGAATCATCATTTTAAAAAGGAACAGCAAATCTAAAAAGACTCTCATATGTATAATATATTATAATTATATTATACATAGATTATCATTTCTCATCGTACGTTTCAGCTGAGGAATTTCTTGATTTTGACGTGCTCGATAATCGTGGCTCACTCGGAAACTGCGACGAACGACCAGGAAACATTGCTGAGGAGAGCAGCCGAACAGCTGGAGCGATTGGCTCCGTATCGGAGAGACGCGGACGATCAATCTCGAGGAGAAATCGATCTCGCAAATTCGCCGGAGATTTGGAGATCTCCCGAGGATCAGAATCGTCTGGATGAGACCAAGAGCGACGCGGATCAAAGGGAATCGCCATGGGAGGTAATTTCCGACATCCTTTCGAAAGAATCGGATGCAACGAAGAAGGCCGAAGACGAGAAGATGGTAATGATCGACGTTATCGCTGATCCGAGATACACCACGATGATGCAGGAGAGGATCAAGAGAGGCTTCGATGCCGGATCTGCCAGTCTTTTAACCGGCATAGCGGGCGGTTTGTTAAGCGGTATCGCGAGTGCATCGAGCAGCTCTGCTGGAAAAGCATTGGCGAGTAGCAGTCAAACGGTGTATCACGCTCCGGCATACGGTGCACCAGCAGTGGAACATAGTTATACGGTAATCGTTATTTGTTTTCAAATGGTTAATTAAAACACTTTACACACCTCTTGTTTACTCAAGTAGAGAAACATCATAAAAGGTGAAAGACAGCATGGAGAAAAAATTGTTGATTCCTTATATAAAGTCTGAAATGGATCGGAGTACTCTACAAGAGGCATAAAAAAAGTTGTTCTGCATATACTGAAAGCATAGTGATATAGGTTAAAGTTGCTCTGCGAAGGAGTGAAATTTTAACCGGTTTTTTAATTATTGCTACCTTTACCGGAATTATGTGCTCCTATTATCTCCTTTGATTCATTTGGAACATTGCAAGATATTCCATGTAGCAATACAAATAAACAGTTTGAAGTGAAAATTATTGTATTAGACATTAGCTAAGCCATTATGTTGAAGTAGTAAAGAATAATTTCCTTTTAAAAAAACAAAAGTATTTAATATATTTTTTTTAAATAAGAGAAAAATGTGGGGAAAAAAGATTGAGACATTGTAACAAGATTGTAATTTAACATGAAAATATTTTTGATATTTGATATTTTTTTTAGTACGTAGAGAAACCGGCCTTCGGTCCTTGGGACTTCAAGAAGGCAATCTTTGGCACACTATTCCAAGCTCTCAAGGCGATCGGCGGCGGCGTGCTAGCTTTAAAGGGCCAATTAGTCAAAGGCAGTAGTTATCTTTTGGCAGGCAAAGCTAAAGTTGTCAGTAAAGCCGGCGACGTCATCACGTCCTTCGGTAAAAGTCTGGCGGCCAGCGCAGTGACGGAACCGAAGCCTTATTCATCAGAAGCTTATTACGATCATCCGCCAGTTCAAAATATAGGTAAGGGATTAAATAATTTTTATAAAATAAACATAAGATTTTTCTACTTGTAATTAACAGTGGTAAAGAAGATTGATTATGAAATTAATAAAAAACAAAATTGCGTTGTCATAAAAAGACTCAGGCATCATATAATATACACATACATAAATAAAAACTTGTGACGTATTACTTTCTATTGTACGCTCACTTGTTTATATCACAATCAATCGATTAATCGTGGAAATCGATCAAAGATATAATTTTGTCTTTGAAAAATGACAGACTGTCTGTAGAAGAAAATCATTATTTCAAGATCATTATTTCATTAACTATAAGCCAATCGATTATCTATGAATACGATAATTTGAAGGGTAATCATATGTTCCAGTTCTAACCAGGTATTATCTACTTTTCTCGAATCCATTTGCGATAACAATAGAACGTTATAATCGATGAAAATGATTCGAAAAAAGTTGACATATGATCGCGATATATTACAATTTTAATTGTTATTGATACTTGTTTTTTAAATTTCAAATTGAAATGATGTAGTCTATAATTGAAAGTATATTTCCTATAATATATATAATTATCGAGTTGATCGCTCTAATATTTATTTATGTATATATACATACATGCACACGTGATTATATTAATGTTCTCTAAATATTTTTTTGTAATATACAGGACATGATTCCAACTATCCTGGATCACCACCAAGTTCTGATGATTATTCTGAGGCGCCTAATGGTTACAATCCACACGAGACTTACAACGTGCCACCAGATGGTAGGTTTCACTTTCAGTACATGTAATCGTAAAGTTACATTGTTTGTAAAGTTCCTACACACTATTGTATACTCTATTTCTATGTTTTTACGCTTTTCTAAGATATGCAATTAATCCAAAGTAGTATTTACGCACTGATGAAGACTTAATAAGTATAACGACTTCTTTCTCTTCATCTAATATTTCCTATGTAAGTAATTATGCAAAGAAACAATAGCTTCCACGGAGAGAAAAAAGTAATCAAGAAGTCTTTGTTTTCTCCTTGAATTTTATAAAGTAGCAAGATATCCTTTTAATTTTATATCCTTTTAATTTATTTAAGAGAACGCTATCAGTTACCGCTTTCACGAATAAATTTCGTCGCCAACTGACAATTATAATATCTAAAACGGGAATCAATGCTTTCGATGTTCTTCTGGAAACTTTTTAATGCAATTCGCTTGATGACGCTCGAATTTCCTTTTCCGTATCGTAACATTGCCATCGCCGTGAGTCGCAGTGAATGTCAATTCCTCCGGAACAAACAGGATTTCGTTTCACGATTCCGAATGACTCTTCCTACGTGTATCAACACGCGACCTTTCACTTTCCCCGAAAGTTATTGACTGAAAGATATCTACGGTACAGCCTGTATTTCCTGACATACTTTTTCGAGATCTTTTACGCTTTTTTTAGTATACAATACCTTCGTGCATCCTTGCTAATATAAATTTTATATATATATTATATATATAAATTGATTTTTTACAAAAAAAAATATTAGTAAAATATGGCTTATGTCGATTCAGATATCTTATAATGAATGAATGTTGCAGTCACAAAATATAAAAATTATGTATGTAATTTTATGTTGTTTTACACTGTCTCTTCTATAAAATTCACTTTTTTGTGTATGACATATGCACTAGTCTTTAAATCATAAATCCTGTAATCCCTATTTTTTGCAAATTTGTATAATTGTTCATATATTTGATCGCATATACGAAATTTTATGTTGTCCCATACTTGGCACCTACACGATTGATACCTTAGTAATACCTTCGGCATACTTGTACTTGGGCACAACAATGTATTTGACAGTATCTGCTTTTATGCTCCACCTCGACTAATCGAATCTGTACTTAACACTAAAGCACTGAATAAACATGACTGACAGACGTCACGTTCACAGACAATGGTCAGGGCGGCCTGCTGATCGTGACACCGACGAAATCTGACCTGGACGACCAACGTACGAACGTGGTGGCGCAGGAAAAGCCGGATCTGTCCAAGTTAGAGGAGAGTTTCGGTGGACCGGCCAAGGGTTCCACCGTCGCAAATCTCCTGAAAGGTAGCCTCGGTTCACAGGATCAAACCGTCAATCAAGACATCAGCAACGTGAACCCTTATCCTCCCGAGCAACCAGCTCCGATCTACGGGGCGCCTAATCACGACATTGCAGCGCAGAATTATGGTAACACGGTGCAAAATTTTCCCTTTGGACAAGACAACGCTTATCAACGGCCTCTCTTACCGTCGCATCATCACTTTCCATATCTAGGCGATCCAACTTCGTCAATTCACCCGAACGTAGATTATTCCCTGTTGCAGCAGATTCAATACCCGGCGAATCCCGCTGCGTCGTTCGACCCGATCAAACTGCCGCACGATGATAGCGGCGGTACATCGGTATATTCGAGTCTGTCCATAGACACCGAGCCGCAGATCGCACCCTTGAAAATATCCCTTCTGCCCGGTGCCCTCGATCTACCCAAATTGAAGCCGCACGTGGACTTTCACGGGCAGCCCCAGTTCGCGAATCATCTTCACGGCGACTTGGGCGGTCCGCTGAAAGTGCCTCTTTTGAACCCGGCGCCATCAGCCTATTATTGGCAGGATCAAGGCTTACAATCGCTTGCTCCCTTTAAGACGCTGAATCACCTCTATAAGAGGAATGTTCTCCAAAGGCGAGCGTTCGCCAAACGACTCGCGCTTTACTCATCGCTGCAGAAGATGAAGTTCCATTGACTGTGAAGTCGAGGCAGGTAACGCATCGACATATTACAACGTGTGTGAAATAATGGCATTTTTTCAAAAATTTCGTAAGTTCTTTCGAGTGTGACGATATATCTTGACGTCGGGACAATTTCTTTGACATTTTTTAAATACTGGAGTGAAAGTACAATACACACATAGACATATGTGTATTTAATAATGTGGTGAAATATCATATCTTGTCACTCTGAACATATAGTAAGAATAAATATGTACTTTCATTTATTTTGCATAATATGCTATCGAGCATGTAATTATGTAAATATAGATAAAATAAAATATAGATAAAATAAAATAGATAGGAAAGATAATATTTAAATATTTTTTATATTATAGGATTATTTGATAAATATTATTATAGAATTATATAACATAGTTATTTGCGATTAGAAAAGAAAGATTATATATTGAAATGAGATTTGTAAACATGTATTAGATTTAGAAAAATAAACTTGAATAATTATTAATTTATTTTATATTAAGATAAATTATTATAATGAAAATTTAAAAAAGAAGATATTTTCCCCTACATCTGTCACATTATTATCTAAAAAGTATTAACATGTTTTTAATGCATCCGCATTCTTTCTGTTACAGTAATCTACACGGTCGCATACTATCCATATCCACTCAAATACCGATACAGATCTCTGAATCCTTATGGACGATAAAAATTTTTTTATGAACGATTACATAGGCTTCGAGGAACAAGAGAAACTAATAAAGCGAAAGCGATTTCTAAAATCCGACTGATTTCAAAGTCGGAATGAAATAGCAATATCATATCTGAGGAGATTTCGGGTACTATTGAAACACATAGTTGTGTCATGGATTATACCGAGTATCGCTAAAATCTTCGAGATCTTATGTTTTTTATTAAACAAGAAAAAGATTTGAAGTAATTTTTTAGGATATATATCTTGATTTACTGACAGAAACGATTACACACATACATATAGATTCTGTGAGCAAGTCAGAGAAATCTAAATTTTAATAAAATAATTTGTTTTTAATTATATTTTATTGAAATAATTTCTTGTTAATTATATATAGAATAATTATTGTAATTTTATATATGTTATAATTTAATTTGTGATAAAGATTTTTTTTGTTACATTGTCTTCGTTTGTCATTTGCGATCACAGCAGACCTGAACGTATATACGAGTACATATATTGTACATACATAAGTCTTCAAGAGTAAGACCTACAATATAAGGGACTTACTGCCATAAATAAGTGGCTTTAAAATTATATATGCGTTAATTTCTTTAAATAAATCAAAATAAAACTTTTTATATTAAGTAATCTCGACTTTATCAAAAGAAATTGTGAAATGAAAAGAATTTGTCTAAACAAAATATTAATTATTTTAAGAGTATAAATAAATTTTACATGAAATTGTTAAAATTATAGAAGAATTCTTATCTTTAAAAGTGTAAAAATTTCTATTAACAAGAATTGAAAATTATTACTTAGCCTATTTTTACCAAAGAACAAACGTTATTTTGAGAACAACAAACTTCTTTTATTGAAAGATATACAATATATTTTTCTTTACGAAATAATATCATTTACTGGAAAAATTTTAATATAATATACTTTTATATATTTTAATATATCATATATATGTATATATGTTATATACATTCATTTGTAATAAATACTATTGTTTTATTCGTTATATATATATATTAGCTCCTTTTATCCCCAATTCAATAAGGGGTTTATAAATTAGTATATATATATATATATATATTTAACGAATTAATCGAACGAATGCATTCCAATTCATCTTTTCGTTTGGTATATATAAATATTTAATTTACTATTCGACTGATTGCGTTCCGACTCGCTTTTTTATTCAATATATATAAATATTACGCTTAAGTGTGAGTCCAAGAAGCAGATTTCGGATATTCACTGTAGGTCAGCCGTTCCTCGAGCGATCGAGACGAGATTTAAACGGTAGTGCCGCGAAATGGTGTAGAATTTTATGCAAAAAGAACGAAATCGTTATCGCGTCCGAAAGTCCAGATATAAATTGGCCGTTTTTCGTCTGCGCGCGGACGGTCGAAATTGTGCACACCGCGCATGTTGCCTGCCTCTCTCGCGCGATATTCACTGTAACGCGGCCAGTAAAATGGCAAGCCGAAATATATATATATATATATATATATATATATATTATAAATAATTATCTTTTTCAAGAACTCTTATAAAGAAAAGAGTCTTGCCTAAGAATATCATATTATTTGATATAATTATTTTTCTATTTGGGACTAACTTGTGCGTAAATTAATATATTAGTTTCAATGATTCCTTTGATGCAACTGAAAAGATTTGTGTTCTTCCATATAATTAATTCTAAATTAATTGATCGTAGAGAAATTGAAAGATGTTATTTGTCATCGTGATAATATACAATTGCTAATCTATTTTATAAAGTGTTGATTACAAATCGATTAGTTGTTAAAATGTAAAGTGATATGCCATTGAATCAAAATGAATGAAATAGGTATTATTAAGGAGAGTATCCCACAATTTTAAAGCATTTTTCCCCCTCATCTTCTACAATTTTCTATATATATTTTTTCAAAATTATTCAATTATTTTATTCAGTTTATTATTTTATTATTTCAATTATTTTATAAGTTTGGTTTTATTTTATACAACAACATTTTGATAGTCTAAATTTATTTGAACTTGATATAGAAATCCATTTTGAAAACCCGCTTTAAAAGATTATAATTTGCGGTTCAAAATATAAATACATTTATAATTTTACGTGTCATTTAAAATACAAAGAAGTAAAATATACATGTATTGTAAATATAAAAATTGTAAATATACATACATATATTAGGATATGCTAATCAGAAAATTATAAATAATATATATATATGTACTTCTTTTTAATATATATTTATATTAATATAATAATATATTATATTAATATATACTTTACATTTAGTATGCATATGTATGTACAATATAATAAAGATTACGTAAATACAATTATCTATCTATATAAATATTAAATCTGCATTACAAAAAAAACCAATAAATAATGTAAAAATTACAACATAGTTAAATACAATTAAAATATTATTAACAGTTATGTGAAAATAATGATTAATTATGTATATTAATTTATAAATCTTATCTCATTCATGCTGTAGTATCGACTTCTAAATAGATCGACGCATTATACATCTTTATATTTTTAATCGATGAAAGAAGAAAGAAATTCTATTTGTCTTTCGATTTCTGAAGTGCGTGTTTGTATCTTGCGTTCAATATCGAAAATCATTGGTTCTTGAAACTTTTTTCTAATGAAGTTTGTTATCTAAAGGAGATTATTTTAACAATTAACATCAATAAATAATTTCGTAAATGTCGCATTATCATATAGACACAATTTTATTATTGACAGAATTTTAGAACAAGATATGTCGAACGTTATATATAAAATATATAACATGTACAAATTGTTTCATTCAATATTATAAATTTCTTTATGGTAGATATAGAGAGATTAAAATTAGACATTTTTTGATAATAAATTTATTATTATTTGGAAATTCATAATATTAACATGATAACAAATAAATGATATTTTCAATCTAAGTTGACTTGTTAATAAAGACAATCTATCGAATGCTACTATGTGACAGATACATATATATATATATATATATATATATATATATATATATATATTAGAGTTCTGGACGAGCTGTAAGCTAATCGATCTGTGGATTGTTTTTTTTTCTACATACTAGTTGAGCAGCAAAGGAAAAAGTGCAAGAAAAACTTTTTCACATTTTTATTTTAATTATTGTTTTGTTTTATTTCAAAAAATTACAAGAGTTGCTCAAAATGACTATTCCAATTCATCGTTGCATGAATGGCAGAAATCAAAAGCCGGATCATGTTTCTATTGAATCATGATTTTAAATGTCGAAAATTTATCAAGGCCCTAGACTGTGCGGAATTATCATTTCTAGACTGTCGCGTTGAAATTATGAATTTGCGGATTTAAATTTATTATTAAAAAATGCTTAATTTTAACCTCTTTACCTACTATAAGAATTTCTAACATCAACTCTGAAACACTATGTATAGGAAAAAATAAATTTTATAATAAAATTTTAACAAATAAGTACGAAACTTTTATTCATTAAAATTACCTTGTCTAACTGTCCCTTAGAATACACATTGTTAATTATGACAGTTAATGCTGTAATCTCATTGACTCTCCTATTTCAACAAAAACAATACATTTAGAATTAATACATTTAAAATACATTTAGAATTAATTAATATTTGCAATTAATAAGAACAATAAATTTTCGAAACTATGTATTTTTATGAAATAATATCGTTACCTTTCTACAATGTTTTTGAAATTATTTAATATCTCTTCAAGCAGATCCGTATTTTTCGCAAGAATAATAAGAAAAGTAGGTGCAGTTAAGGCTCTCTCTGATGGTTTATAATAAGCTACATTAAACATAAAGTCAAACAATTGGCTCTGAAAATAAGGCATTAATATTCTAGAATCTTCAACATTAGCTAGACATTCTAAAATCATAGGATCAATTTTTTTCATTAATTGATTATTGAAAACTTGATTCCATATATTATTATCTGCGATTTTCAAACCATTACAGTATGTCCACCTCTTCCATCCAGGTGATAATCTACAAAAACAGTCCAGAAAAAAAGTAAAAATTTTCTATCAAAATAGTGTTATTAGGATTTTTAGTGTTTTATTGTAATAATAAATAATTTTTTAATATATGATAACTAATTTCTCAAATATATACACATATATATATATATATATTTGATATACTATTATATATACTGATATATATATATATATATGTGTGTGTGTGTGTGTGTGTGTGTGTGTGTGTGTGTGTGTGTGTGTGTGTGTGTGTATCTCCATAAAATATTCTTAATTAATATATATCTATATTTTCCCAAAATATTCCTATAAAGAATCAAGTATTACAAAGAGAATTACTTGTTTTTTTCAGGATTTATCAGATGCTCTTGCAATTGATTATGGGCCTGTGTTTTACATGAAAAATCATCCGCAATACATCTCCACTTTGCAACTTCTTGCTTTAAACATTCAATATGATCGTTATGTTCTCCAGACACATTCCACAATATTAAAAATTCCATTCTTCTTATCACTTCCTAGTATTGAAATAAGAAATATAGTACATCTCTTTATTTAATCCTTTCACATTTAAAGAATAGATATTATATATATGTACAAAACAGAAACACATTTTAATTAGAATTTTATTTTAATAAATTTTATTTTAATAAATTCATGTCATTATAGCATCAATTATTATTATGTTACATACAACTATTGTATTAATCAAATTAGCCGATCTTTTATTTGAATAATTGTATACGTATTTAAATAATTGTATACGTATTTTATATCCAAATGTATCTATATTCTTAATACGTATATTTCAGTCTATATATCACTCGCTCAAATGTCAAGTAGTATAAGTCAGAAAAATAAAGACTTTTACATTTGAGAAATAAAGACTTTTACATTTTTTTTTATATATAGGTATATATATATATATATATATATATATATATATAAATAATAGATTCGATTCACTTTAAATGTAAATATAATTACATGATGCAATAGATCGTATTATACTACATCTGAAATCTATTAATTATTACTAAAATCAAGTTTAGATAGTCTTATATCACTTAGTATCTAGACTATATCTCATATATCGATGACTAAACTCTCTTACACATCGACGAATTAACTATATTACGATCAATTATTTTCTTAATTTAAATCTATTACATCAATCAAATATCGATTTTATATTTCAAATCTGTAAAATATCTTAATTTTTATAAAACAAATATTTAGAAATGAATTATTACAAGCTATACAATGTAACAAAATTATCTTAAAATTATAAATGTTTTGCAAATTTTTAATACTCGCCGTAAACATTCTACTGTGCAAAAAATTAATATAAAGTAATAATTGATACTGTATTCTATAATACTCTAAAATTGAATAAATTGAATAAAATGTATATATATATATATATATATATATATATATATAATTATATTATATTCAATGTTGTATGTATATATATATATATATATATATATATATATATATACAACATTGAATATAATATAAATTTTAAAGTTCTAGTATTTTGGAAAAACAGCAATATAAAAATTTATAAATTTATAAAACATGACTATTTAAAAAGGAAAACGTATAAACCATTTCAAATTTGTGACATTTGATACATAAATAAAGTTAAGTAAAAACATATAATTAAATTGTTTTTTTTTTTTAATTTTTTAGTATATTTTCAAACATATAACATATGTGTTTAGTATTTTTATAAAGTCACTACATATCTATTTTTCAATTATTTCACTGTTGTGATATGAAATCGTTATATTAAATTATAATTAATTAGCTTAGTAGATAATTTTTTAATAAAATTTATTATGTTTACCTGGAATTGAGGGTAATACCACAAGAATACGAAAATATTCGACATAAATTCAAAAGCTTTGATCATAGGATACCATGCTATGTAATCTCTTTCATTTGACAAATATTGAGCAATTTTCCAAAATACTGAGAATTCAAGTTCCTTCTCTACCGCAAAATGGAATGCATCATCGATAATTTGTGCTCGATTGAGAACATGTATATTCTCATATTCTTTAGAATTCAAGTATCGCCCAATTTTTCGCCAATTCTCAGTATCATAATAGACGCGATAGTATCCTGTTATGCAACAAATTTTTGTCGGTTATTAGCAACTTATAGTTGCTTTATGTTGATTAAATATATTTCGAAATATCTTCTTTCTTTTATTTATTATTTAATAATAACGGTATCAGAATTGCGCATAGTAAGACATAAAATACATCGGTTATATTGCATTTGATGAAATTTCAATATTAACGTAGTATTTCAATATTAACGTAGTATATTTTTGTAGAAACAAAGAAAGAGAGAATCTTATATTTTATATATATGTAATATGTATTATATATATGTTTTAAAATATTTTTTATTATTTTGATTTATACTCATATTTTACTCATATCATATATAATATATGATAACTGAGTAAACTTAGAAACTCGTATGTTTAAGGAATTTTGTATAAATTCAAATTAGTATTGACTACAAACATAATGTTTACATTATATAATATATATGTAGTCAATATAAGTTTATCATTCAATATTTACCAGCTTGTTGTAAATTGAAAATAATCCACTGATCTTCCTCAAAAAAGAATTTAATTTCTGAATGCCGTGGTGTTAACCAAGTAATATTTGTCCAAGTTATATTAAAATTGAGTTTTGATTCCGTAGTGTAAGTAACAGGTATATAATATTGTTCTACATCTAATTTGTTGTGAAATCGTATCGATATAGTTACAGTATTGCTAGAATAATTTCGCATCACCTCTAATACGGAAAAACAACTCTGCGTAGCCCATGAATCTATCATACTTTTTATATTAAACTCTAATGTGTAATTTAATGCGTTCATGACAGATTGCATAGCATTCCATAAATGACTGGAAGTTGTTGCTTCAGGCTCACTGAATCTATAAGATTTAACATGGCAATGCTAACTCTTTATGTAATTGATCAATATCATAAAAGAGAAAATCACAATTTATATAATTCATTATCATATTTTATTTTAATTTATAATGCAACTTTCATACAAGTATTAACTTTTAAACATTAATATAATTATGTATATTGTAATTTAATATATAAAAAATATATATTATATGACATATATTATATGACATATAATAGTTTATATATTTATTAACGATTGAATAACTTTTCATAATTAATAAATAATGAATTTAATCTTCACAAAGGTTAAAGCTTTAAACTGTACATATATTTGTGAAACTTGATTCTCAAAAAATTATTCAATTTAAATTGTTTATAAACTATGAATCTCTTTCTTATATGTTTATTCAGAAAAACTCGAATTGAAATTCACTCGACAAAAATTTATAAATATAAAATAACAATATAAATCTGAGCCTTTTCAAACACCTATGACTTTTAAATAATAACACAGGAAATATATTGCACAAAATTTTTATATATTAAAAAATTTTCTATTCTCTACAATATATATATATATATATATATATATATATATATATATATAATTATATTACATTATACTTACTGATTATTCAAATATATGTCGATACTTTTTGAAAATATATCAGGCGAAAATGTTAATTCTAACATGCGCCATATAATGAAACCTATAATGATTGAAATAAAAAAAATTACTTAATATTATATTTAATAGTGTTAAATATGTTCTAAAAAAATAAAATAAAAAAATTATAATGATAGAGAAATAATGAATGATTAAGATTAAGTAAGTATAATAAATTAGACTTTTATAATTAATAAGCTTTATGTTTTCTGATATTGACGATTTTTTGAAGTCAATAGACGTATTACTTTAATTTAAAAAATATACATTAGAAAATTATATAAAAAAATATACAAAAAAAAGTTTGATTTCAAAAAGTTAGATATTATATTCTTTTTGATATTGTTACCTCAAAGATTATAATAAAATATAATAAGAATAAAAATATAGAAATTTTGACAAAAAAAAAATAAATTTGTTTATATAAATGATTTTCCACTTCTTGTGAAATTAACATTCAGAAATTTATAATTATTTAATTATTTAATTATTTAATTATTTACACCTTTGTTGTGGGAAAGAGAAGAGTAATAATTTTCAGAATAGATATTATATTCTATAGCATAATTTATAACGATATAAGTGTTTAGATCGAGTAATTCATGTTGAACTTGAACTACAAACAAATCCATCATCGGGAAATTTGGCAGAGCCTAAAATCAATTCAATATAATCATAACTATAATTAATCAGAGAGAAAAAGCCTTTAGTATAAAAACCAGCATCATAATATGTTAATTAATTGCTAAAAAAATTTTAAAAATAAAATTTGTATGTGTGTAAATCTTTTCGTAATAATTTTCATATATAAAAATATATTAATTATATTTATTTCTTATAAATTCCTTTCATCAGATTTATAGAAATTTAAAAGATTTGGATTATCATTATTTTTATATTTAAGAAAATTTGTAGAAATATTTAGCGATTGTGTACAATGCTAAACTGTTAATTGTTTTGACTGCGTATTCAAATAACATTATGATAAAATAACCTTCTCGATGATATATGTTTCGAAATATATTTTAAAGCCCTCGTTTAACCATTGATCAAACCAATAAGATGGACTCAACAGATTGCATTTTTGTGCCATCCCACGTGCTATAATGTGAGCAATTCTTATTTTGTATATGATAGGATGTAATTTTTCATCGTAAACAATATCTGCTTCTCTAAAAATCATTATGCATGAATATATTAATATATGAAAAATTTTGAATATTAATATAATTTTATTTCTTAAATAAATTATATATATATCTTTAATATACACATATTACCTATAAAAAACGAATCCCAATTTCTGTTTGACTTCATCTTTTATATCCAAGATTGCTACATCCACTTTCTTTTCAAACAAAACATAAGTCTTTTCAAAGACATACATCGAATTATTTTGTAAGTATCTAATAATATTTTCAATAATATATAGCGAAAATTTCATTTGCGATTTCAATTGCGGTCTGTACAACATGCTAACAGTTTTATTGTTAATCACATTACTGATCTGATAATAATTAGTTACTACTAATACTATACTATCTATGGAGATCAAAGGAGTCGTGTGAAAATGTGTCCACATCGTATTATAGAGCGCCGGTTTAGATATTTGTATCGGCATATTTGACAAAACTGTGTATTGTCGATGATGGTTTATAGAAATATCAAAATAAACTTTCAATTCTGGGTTGTTCCAATACGGAAATATTTGCTGTTTTTTTGTTTGAATATTTGTTACTATTAACCTATTGTATTTAACATTATGCTCAAAATAATTATTACTTTTAAATTGCATATTAAGCATACAATGCACAAAGTATTTAAGAGTTTTGTTTTCATATTTTAATATACTTCTACTCACCATCTTCTATCTTCTCCTTCCTTTATAAACGGAATTTCGTAATTTTCAGAAACGTTTATTGTAAAATTATTATTAATGAAATAGATTTTCAAAAGATATGTACCAGGTAACAAAAAGTCGTCAAAGTCTAACATGACAATATTGTTTTTTCCATAATATATTGGTAATTTAATTGGATAGTCCCCTCCATTACATAATTGTCTTAAGCTCGCTCCAATTAGAATACATTTCGAATTCGGTAAATTAAAATTTATGTGTTGTGTTGCAAACATAATATTAATAATGATTTTACATTCACTGATAAGATGAGGCCGCTTAGGGAGAAATATAACTCGTATTGAATAATGTAATGGCAATATAGTGTCTGACAAATTGTAGTTCAATTCATTGCGCCACACGACATCCGATTTTTCATCATTAGTAGAAATCGTTATTGTCATTGCGGTCATGTATATTAAACTACTACTTAATAATAGTTTTATGAATATCATGTTAAATTTTCTTCGGATATCTATAAAAATATTTCTTTACTAGAAACAAGATATTTATAAATTTTATGCGAATTGGCTTCGATTTTTTTACTTTTGTGTGAAAAAACATGCAAAGTAATTTAGACTAATGCTTAGCAATGCTTAGTAAAATAGGATTAATTACAATAATGATAAAATGATTATATATTATTAATAAATATATAACATCACATAAATAAAAAATAAATGTAGAACTCTCATTTTTATAAACGATATAAAATATTTTCCTTGAATATATTTATACAACTCTCATTTTTATAAACGATATAAAATATTTTCCTTGAATATGTATATAAGAAGACACATATGAAGAATGTAATTTAGGTAATTCCAAGAAGAACAACACAATAAATATAATTTTTATTTCTCTCAAGTTCGATTATCTTCAATATTTCTTCTAGTATAGTTATATGTTTTTGTGTCTTGCATATTATGTATTCTCTACGTACACAAATTTTAAAAATTTTAATCATTTCTTTAAACATGTATGTTAAATTTAGAGATAAAGAAAATTTAAAAATATATGAGAGATATTTTCAACAACTGGATTTTATATGTGATATGACTGTATGTTTACTAACATGTTATCTACAAAGTTTATACGTTCTTCTTAAACTTAGTTTAGAGTGAGAAATATATGAAAAACGAATGATACACAATAAATATGTGCCGAAATCAAATTTATTTGAAACTTTGTTGATGCAACAATTCAAATAAAATGTAAAAAAAATGCTAAACGAACATTATATTAGTTTTATATTAGTACATGTGGTATATTTTGGAACACATATTTGGAACTATATATTAATCTATTGCTCGTTCTTTATTTGCGTCCGTTATATTTAACTTAACATTTTCAGTGTATGTAACATTAAAGAACATCGACTTCATTATAAAAAAAGTAATGTTTTAAAAACAAATTACATGTAATATTAAACGTCTTTAAGATAATTTTATAGCTATAGCATAAAATTTGGAACACAATAATTTTATATCGTCAAATAAAGTTTATAGGTTTTCTATATATGGTATTAAAATGGTTAAATGATACTATTACAATACGTGTCTAAATATCTTCATATTACCTGCGATATATGAAAATAGTACTTTCAATAAAGAACTATATTCATTTGAAAATTGAAGGAAAATCTTTTTTAAGAAATAAAATAATTGCTTGTTATTTCACACATTTTTATATGCATACATTCAATGAAAAAGAGATATATAAGCTAAATATTTTATTCAATTTATTTAATGTCTTACCCTATTTTATGAGGCAGCTACAGATTTATAATATGAAATAAACGTTGAATCGCGATCTTACCACTTCAAGAGACTATTATAAACTGAGCGCTGTCGCTTAGTTCATGCCCTAAATATGTAAGATACGTGGTGTCATGTAAACACTATTTTGATTATACATAACATAAGAAAATCTTTTCATCGATAGAAGTTAATACGTATATACTTTTGTTTAATCTTTATATTCCGTTTGTGACCGTTTTCATATTTAAAGTTTTTATTTGTAAAATACAGTATCTTTCGCGATTAAATAATTTATTTACTATCAATTTACATACAAAAGTATCTTGTTATACAGCACTGGTGCTAAAAAATATTTAATGCTTAATGCTTTATATGTATATATAATACAAGGTACTAAATTATAAAGTGTAACATAATTAAAAAATATTACTATTATTACTATTATTATTACTATTATTAGTCGACTTAATTACAAGCTATTCCTAATTACTACATATGTTTATCCGATGCATCTTCTTCTTCAAATCTTTGCAATGTTGTGATCTGTCGCATTCCCAAGACTATAGGGACTCGTGCTTCTTTCTTCTTATCGTTTTATCATTCTTTTATTCTCTTCCATCTTATTCAAAATATATAATAATTATTAACTAAGTATTATAATATATTATAATATAATATAATTATTATATTAATAATTAATATGTATAATATATATTAATATATAATATATATTAATAATGTATAATATAAATTAATATATAATATATATTAATATATATATATATATATATATATATGTATATATATATTAATATATATAATTAATTAATAATTACTAATATAATAATTATAATTACGGTATCTCTCTTAGTCTGACTCTTTCTCTTTGACCTATCCGGCATGGGTGACCCTACCAGTAATTAAGGCCGGTGTTTACACAGTCTTATATTTAAAATCGTTTTAAGTAAAATTTAGAAAATGTTTGTTATTTCATTGAGACTGAACAGAATTTTAAGATGCGATCTAAGATTATATTTAAGATGATTAAATATAAAAACAAATTGTATGAATACCGGCCTACGTTACCGCCGGCATAGCTCTCCGGATCATTAGAGTACTCAAACCTCCTCACCCGGCGAATGCCTTCGTTAAGGTGGAGATACCATCGAAGAGGTACAATTTTTTTATTTTATTTTCTTTTAATATAATGTAGGTTTTTCAAATTTTCCAAATAGAAAATATAATACAAAGGATGTATAAAATATACATATATTATATATATATTATATAATTATAAAATATTATAATGCATAATTACATAGCTTGCAGTCATATAAAAATATATTACAAAATATATATTATAATTATAATACAATTTATAAATTGGTATCAACATCAAATAAATATGTATTCGAATTTATTCAAATATTTTCAATAATACGGATAATGATGTTGAGAGCGCACACACATTCTTGGACTTACAATAATACTATATATATAGAAAGAAAAAAAAGGAAAATTCAGAGAATAAAATAATTTTTCGAAAAATGAAGATATATTTTCCATTTTTCGACATTTATTCAAGATTTAATTTCTATTGTTACAAATATCTTTTACACATATTTGATGTGATATATAATGTATAACAATAACAATAATAAAATATATATACATAATACACACATATATATATATATATATATATATATATATATAATACATAAAATTGTTAATACATAAGATAATACATAAAATTTTTCGTTGAAAATATATAGTGTAATACATAACAATAAAATATATATTATATATAATACATAAAAAATTGTTATGTAGAATATATACATAGATTACTTTACTATATTACACGAAAATATCCGCAATACGTACAACGTAAAATTGATTAGAAATTTTTCTGATAATCTATCGCGACTAAAAAAATCATTAATAAATTTCTCGCTTGTGTTCCTCTCAATTAAGAAAAAGTAATTTTAATACGAAATTTTAATTCATTTTATAAGATTTTCTAAAAGAAATGTTTGATGACGCGGAAAGATAAGTAAAACTTTGATGTTACCCAAAAATTAAATCAGAAAAAAAATTAAATTTCGCGGTTTAAATTTTACGAATATATATGATAAATAAATAAATTAATAATAACAGTAATATTTAACCACAATACACATAATTTCTATAATAATCGGAATACAACGTGCGCAATATAATTATTATCATTTTGTGCGACAATAAAAATATTGCAACATTAGAGACGCATTTCATATAATTTGCACAATATTATAATATACGTAAGGAATCAAACGCGGATGCAGAATCTAATAGTCGATTTCTTTTCAAATATACAATTTCATGTAAATTTCGCGATCAAAAGTAAAATATATATCTTGTTCCGCGAACAATTGCAAACAGGCTAAACTTTAATATCCTTATGCCTTAAAATAATTGCGTTATCGCCACGCTCAATGAAGAATAACTGGTCCAACGATTAGACCAGATCAAAATCCCTCTGCCGAGTGACACGCTGGTTAATATCTGACAGAGAGAAGAACGATTCTAAAAGTGGGAAGCGACTTCAATTTGTCTTATTTCTTCTATTTCGGATCTCGCGAAATCGATCCACAACGGATAGTTAAGTGATTCATTAAACATCAGAAGCTTCTCTACAGGAAAGAACGAAACCCCGATCTTCCTGACTGCTCCCGATAACAGCGATTTTGGCAGCGGATTAACGACTGTTACCCTTCTTATCATTTTCAATATATAATATTAAAATTCGCGTAAAAAAACATCTTCTTCCATTTTAAGAAATCTTTTCTTTTTACTAAAAAATGACTGGATATAATAGTTTTTATATACATGTTACAATCAAATATATTTAAAGGTAAAATGAAATACATGCGCTTTTATCGTTGCTTGATTAAATGTGTGAATAATAATAATTTTAGGGTACCAAATTTGCTCAAAATTCGAGACAAATCAAATCTGATAACAGCAAGATTAAAAAAAAATTCAACTTGAATATTTAGCAACATCAAATGAAAGATTATCAAAAAATTAATTTTTCTGTTGCATTTAACAGTTAAGACTTAGCACGTAACAATAATTTGCAGATATCTTACTGATATCAGAGTACCCATTCGATTTGTCTCGAATTTTTTAATTAATCACACATTTTATATTATATCATGCATTCCTAATATATTATTAAGAATAATATTAAAAAATAGTTTTTCAAATATGTCACAATTTACGCACATGTATTTTATTATATGTACACTCTTATCTAAAATAAACTAATTATAATATACATAAGATAGTGGAGCATCCAGTAACTCCTGCAAGTGGTTTCTTAAAAGAGACCAAAAATAAAATTAATTCAAAATTAATTAATAAAATATACTTGTTTGTAACCATAATTTTTCAAATAATAAAAATTTTGCACAAAAAAGTTTGCGCAAAAACTTATTAAATTAAATTTATATTTGAAAAAGTGAATTTTATCTATTATATCCATTTTTGAATTATTATTTTCATTATTAAAATAATAGTGATATTAATAGGAGGATATTAATGGAAGAACATTTTTAACAAAAAGAGAAAATATATCTTCTCTCAAAGTATAATGAATTTTGTAATTCGATTTCAAACAATGTACGGTGATTGTCGTTAAATCACTGCCAAAACATTGTTTCCAGGAACCGCCACGAAAACCTGGGTTTAATTCCTATTCTGTAATGAAACTTTCAATTTTCAATGAGGCACCGAACTAAGCGTTGCGGATAGATCTCACAAAAACCGGCGAGAAATAACTTTCCGCAATGAAAATCGTTTCGATTCTCCGCCAGTATAAACCGCGCATTTGCTAGCGTCCACCTGACATGAGGGACAGCGATAAGGCTTCTTCGTCGAGACAGCGATCACATCCAAAAACGTGAAAAGAACGCAATTGTTTGCAATATAATTTATTATAAAATCGTAAATCAATAAATCATAATCTATAAATATTTAACGCGATGCGAAATTCTTGAAATACATTAAATTAAAAACGATAATCAAAGAAAATTATTTTGTTTTACAGATTTTAATTTCCGCATGATTGATAATGTTTAATATTTCGCAATATTTTATTTTCGAATATACTTGTGTTTTCTATAATATTAAAAGAACGACAAATTTTACGTAAAAAGCTAATATCTAATTATTGGGTTAACATCGTGTTTTTCATGATTCACTTTTATTTAATAATAACTTTATATTATGTAAAAAAATTTTTTTACGGTATTTGCGCGATTACGAAAGTTTCTCGAATTTATTAATAATCTTTTAGTATAAAAAATAAGCTATCCAAATATTTGAATAATTTTGCAATAAAAATATTCAAATAAAATATATCAAATGTGTTAATTAAACAAATTTTGTTATTGTACGTATTCACCTAATTTCGTGTAATGTACAATAGATTTCTTTTACATTATTACAACTAGATTATAATTTCTATACAATTGCAAAGAAAATTATGAAAAATAAAAAATAATATAATTACAATTTATAGATATAATTATAATGTTAATTATCAATTTAATAATTGATGCTATTAGTATCAATATTCTCAACATAAGAAAATTTGCAAAATTTTTATTATTTAAAATGATTATTCAATGATAATCAATGTATATGATTTCAAATAAGTTAGAAAAAAAAATTATTTAAATTGAATTACTTTTGTCTCTCAATATTTTATCAAATAAATATTATCATATTAGATACTAATAACATTCACCTTTGAATTTAAAATTGTATAATTTTAAAAAAAATACAATTTTTAGTAGTGATAAAATAAAATATTAATATAATTTACAAAAAATAAAATATTAAATTTAGTACATGTTATACGTATAATAAAATGCAACTTAAATGTACATTATGTATTTAAGTTACATTTTTTACATTTTCCATTTTACATTTTTTTACATTAATTTTTTTATTTTTATTTATAGTTTTTTTTATAATTAATTTCAATTCTTTATATATAATTTATTTAATTTTATATGAAA